CTGGGTTCTCTGGCTCCAGAGCCCCTTCCCTTAATCATTTCCCCTCCTTCTAAATTGCAATGACGACAAAAATCCCAACAGCATTTTTGGAAGCAGAATTAGAGAAATTTATTATTATTTTTTAAGATTGATTTTTTTAAATTTACTTATTTTAGAAAGACAGAGAAAGCAAGCATGTGCAAGCAGGGGAGGAGCAGAGGGAGAGGGAGAGAAAGAGAATCTCCATCAAACTCCCTGCTGAGCATGGAGCCTGATGTGGGGCTCAATCCTACAACCCTGAGATCATGACCTGAGCTGAAATCAAGAGCCGGACGCTCAAGTGACTGAGCCATCCAGGCACCCTGAAATTATTTTAAAGTTAAGCTGGAATAATATGCATGGAAAAATAATTAGGAAATGGTTGAGGGAGAGAATAATCAGGGAGGAGATTCATGTTCCAAATATTAAAATGTATTTTTTTAAGATTTTTTATTTATTTGAGCAAGAGTGAGAGAGTGAGCGTGAGAGAGACAGAGAGAGAGAACAGTGGGGGAGGGTGGGGCAGAGGGAGAGGGAGAAGCAAGCTCCCTGCTGAGCAGGGAGACCAACATGGGGCTCCATCCCAGGACCCTGGGATTACGACCTGAGCCGAAGGCAGATGCTTAACCAACTGAGCCACCCAGGTGCCCCTAAAATGTATTTTAAAGATACATTCAAGGTATTTACTCATTAAACAAAAACTTACTGAACCTCTTCTCTTTGCCAGGTTCTGCTTTAGGTGCCAGTGATGGAGTACTGACAAGAACAGACAAAAAGCCCTGTTCCCATGAAGTTTAAATTGTTGTTGAGGGAAACAGACAAAGAAATAGACAAATTATAGACTGTTATAGGTCGTGATACATTCTATGAAGAAAAATACAGCAGTAGGAGTAATAGAGAATGCTGGGGTAGAGGAGGGGATGCTTTCTAAATATGGGGGTCAGAAAAGACCCCATTGATAAGATGGCACTTGAACAGAAACATGGAAAAGTTGAGAGAGCAAACCATGAGGGTGTCTGGGGGAAAGGCATTCCAACAGAGGGGACAATGAGTGCAAAGATCCTGGAGTAGAAGGATGCTTGCCATATTTGTAAAATAGCAAGAAAGCCAATGTGGCTGGAATGATTGGAAGGTAAAATAGTAGAAGATGATGTCAGAGGGACAATAGCAGGGGCAGGTTATCAGGGCATTTTGCCTCTAACTCTGAATGAAATGGGAAATGTGACTTGGTCTGACTTACATATATTATAAGATGATCATTCTGGCTGCTGTGTTGGAAAAGGAATTACTAACTCTTCTCCAAAAACGAGTGAGTTCCTGGTGGATAGATGACACCCAGGGGCCATGTTTCCTGACTGGATACATCTAATGTGGTAAGAGGCTATGCGCACTAGAATTGAGATTCTCTCTACCACTCCCCAAAGCTAAGACAAGTGAATAAAAGTGTCAGCAGCTAGAAAGAAATGCCACCAGACAGTGGAAAGGACGGAGAAAAACCTCATGAAACAGAATGTTTCCTACTCCGCTGTTACCTGGGCAGTTGATCTTCTATTGCCTGATGCCACCCTTCTGAGAGAGCCAGAGTACATCCTCATCCACTATCCCACTCATCACTGCTAACCGAGACATCGGCCCTTGAAGTCATGGTGGAGGAGGTAGAGTCAGGGATGGCATTCTGGGAGACACGGTACCCACAAGTTAGATTATAAAATGGTGGGTGGAGACAGAGGAAGTTTAGCAGCATGCTAGGGGCTATGATATTTGTGTATTAATTACATCAATCCACAGGATATGGACTCAGTGGCAGATGTTGGAAAGCATCTGGAGTTGTAGATAGCATGAGGGGAAAGCCTCTTGGAAATGTGGAGCTGAGCTGGGAGAACCCTCTGGCATATCAGCAGCAGAAAATGTTGCCATGACCCCTGTGACAGGGGGCAGACTCAGTGAAACTTGCCTAATAGCCCCCGGTCTGCATGGATCCAGCCTCATTTAGGAGTAAGAAAAGAGAAAAAAAACCATCAATCTGACATCTATGACCAAATGCTGAGGGAAGTGTCTAATAAATATTTTAGCACTTTGTATATAAATGTATATTCAATTATAAATGTTACGTCCTTGGAATATGTATACGAAGCTCACCCTTGAATTTCCACAAATAAATATAATATAATCAGCACAGCACAGACTCAATCAAATAGGTCAGCTCTTCGCAGTATTCTTTACAAACATTATCACAAAAGGGAAGAGCTAAATATCAAATCTGATCTTTTCATTAATTCATCTGAATATTAAAAACTACTGAAGGGCCACAGTAGATATTTCTGGAAGTACTAGGTTATCAATATGTTAAGTATTGACAACGCTACTTTATGAATGAATCAAAATTGTACCCAAGTGTTTACCTGATTTTTATAAGATGCTTTAAAATTCCAAGATGCTGCCTCAGTAATTATATATTGCAGGCCAGACTCAGACAATTCTACAGTAAGTGAGAAGCCTGGACATATAAATAGCTCAGTGGATTGAACTTCAGTACTTCGAAAGTCTCTATCATTAGGAATTATGAAGATGTTAATTTTCAGTAATACATACTTTTAATAATAAGCATAAGTAAAATTAGAGTTTTGGTTTTTTAACTTTTGCTGATTTTTAAGAAAAAGTTTATGTTCTTTGAACTTTAGAGTCCTTGCAATTATCTAATTCATGAATGAAAACCAACTAATTTGGGGCAAGAAATTATTCTCCAGAAGTTGTTTTCACTATCTTTTAGTTTTAGGTGCGCAATTTAGTGATTCAATAGTTAAAATCCTAGAGGAGAACACAGGCAGGAGCCTCTGACATTGGCCGTAACAACTTCTTACTAGATGCGTCTCCTGAGGCAAGGGAAACAACAGTAAAAATAAACTATTGGGACTACAGCAAAATAAAAAGCCTCTGCACTGCGAAGGAAATCATCAACAAAACTTAAAGGCAACCTATGGAATGGGAAAAGATATTTGCAAATGCCATACCCAATAAAGAGTTCCCAAAATATATTTTAAAAAACCCCGTAAAACTCAACACCCCCAAAACAAACACTCCAGTTAAAAAATAGGCAGAAGACAAGAACAGACATTTCTCCAAAGAGGACATCCAGATGGCCAACAGACACATGAAAAGATGCTCATCATCACTTACCCTCAGGGAAATGCAAATCAAAACTACAATGAGATATTACCTCACACCTGACAGGATGATTAAAGTCAACAGCACAGGAAACAACAGGTGTTGGCGAGGATGTGGAGAAACCCAAGAGGGTTCCCCTATCTATCTTTTAAAAGTGATAATGATAGAGATATATAAAGGAATGATAAGAGGAAATCATTTAATAATTAATAATTTAAAAGAAATAATGACAGAGATAACATCAATGTTACTTTAGCATAGTAGTCTAAAACCTCAAAAATATGTACCTCAAAGGGAAAATGTTATTCATAGTTTATTATCGAGGAAAAAAAAAGTAGAACCATTCTGAGGCCCTCTATGTAAATGATCTCATCTTCAACCACGCACTTCTAGAATACTTTTTCTTTAATGAGCCATTTTTTATACTTTTCATGTGTATTTAACATGACAAATTTAGACAGATACAAAAACAAAAAGGATAATGGAAATAGAATGCTATATGTATTTAAAAGATTCATGAGCAGGGACAGAGGAGGCTTTCTCATCAATCGCCTGGCACCCTGCAGAAGGTGCATAAATCATAGATCTTGATTTTCTTTTAGGAAATAACAGTTATCATTTAATCTTTGGTGTTTTAGTTAGAATAGAAGTTTCAAAAAAAAGAGATTGCTGATCACAGTGTCATACAAATGTGTCAATCAAAGTACTGGGGTAATTAAGTTATCTCTTCGATTCCCCTATAGGCTATTCTAATTAGCATACAAGCACTTTCTTAATTCGTTGTAGTCACCAAGGACAATGTGATTCTAACAGCTGTGTTTGTTATTTTACTGCCTGACAGCAAATTTTATTTGCTGTTTTATTGACTTGGAATAAAAATACATAATTGATTACCCATAATCAATCTGTTACAAATCTGGCTATGGGAAAAGGGTTAATAAGTCATTATAGAAACTTACTGGTTAATCAAGTTCATTCTCAGTGACAGACACTCCTGTCCCCATTCTCCTGTTCTTCTGCAAGAGCACAGCCCCACTTGACCGGCTTCTCTACTCTTCCCCTTTGAAACCTGAGTGACTGGGCAAAGCTGACCCCACCCCAGCTCATGAGATGAGACAACAGTAACCAAAATAAAATGATAGAAACCAAAGTACTACCATCTCTTTGGCCAGAGACTGGTTTCATTGCGCAAGGTTAAGCTAATCAAGACTTACTGGGCGTTTCAGCTAAATTGGCTAAATAGTCCAGAGGAACTTTCATTCCACAGTGATGGGAAAGCTCCTTTCTCTGCGTCTTTCCCTGACTCTCTGTTTGTCTATCTTCATGCAAGGCAAGGACAAGAAAGCATGCCACCCCAGTGGCCGCCCGTGCGCCTCTCAGGAAGGAAGCCAGCTAACATATTGGAAAGGCCCTGACCCTCCCCTGTCTGAGCCCTTCCTACCTTCTCATGTCTTGTTATAAGAGATGAAACACTTCTTTATGGTTAAAAGTACTGATCCCCATGTAATAGGCATGCTGGTGGTGACTGCCCCACTTGGAAGAACGATGGGACTTACACACCTCAACTCCCCGCAACACTCTGGCTGCAGAGGCAAGGACCACGGGGAGATCGATGGCAGGATGAGGCCCCACAGGTCCCAACTGCATCCTAGTCTCAGCTCTCTGTTCTCACAGGTCCCGGTTCTCCTGCCTGTGCTGGGGTGAGTAGATTTTCTGGTTCTCTCAACCAAAAGAAGTCATCATTAGCCCTGATAGGTCAAGTTCCTTCAGGAACCAACACACCCAGACTTGAAATTGATCCAAGGAACCTTGCCTACCTTGGGCATGCAGATCACCAAATGCCCTGTCGTCTGAGATCGTTTGGCAGAGCTGCTGTCAGGCTTGACTTCTGCAGGAAGGACAAGCTGGAATGGCTGAAAATAAACAGGAAGTATCCCAGAAAGGGAGTGCATGTCACGTGAGAGGGTTACTTCAAGGTGTATTTTCATTACCAGTTCAAGATTCACCATTCCATTTTTAAAAACATGCTTAGACTTAGTAGAAAAAAAAAATGTCTGGGCTATGCTTGATATGCATGAACTATTTTACCTATTTTAGTGAATGGACTAAAGAACAGTCAAAATCACAAACAGTGAAACAGTCATTGGTCCATTTATGTTAACATGGCTAATAATAAAGAATTTATAGATAAAACTTCTTGTCATAAACCATCAACATACTTCCACTTTAAAGCCTTCATATGACTCCTATGAGTGCTCATAATCAGCAAAAAAATACTATTTCAGGGGTGCCTGGGTGGCTCAGTCGGTTAAGCATCCGACTCTTGATTTCAGCTCAGATCATGATCTAGGGTTGTGAGATCGAACCCACACTGGGCTCTGTGCTGGGTGTGGAGCCTGCCTAAGATTCTCTCTCTCCCTCTCCCTCTGCCCCTCCCCCTGTTGCATTTTCTCTCTCTCTCTTAAAAAAAATACTATTTCAAAAATAATAAAATTATAGTTGCTATGAATGAAATGATTGACAATTTAAAGGGGGGTATATTATTTAAATCTAAGTTCAAGCATAGGCTATCATACATATAATCACCTTATCAGATCTGAAAGAAGTACTAACAATAGACACAAGTTAAAAATGCTAATTTTATGGAGCTACACAGTGGTTAGTCAACAGCCAATCTTGCTGTATACCACTCCCACTGTGTAAAATCATGTGTCTAAAAAATAGCTCTCTGATTGGGCTTCTTTTCTTCTCTTTTCATATTATGTTGACAATTTTTGAGGCAACCTAGCTTAGTTTGAGGCTTGGCTTTTGAAACCGTAACAGTCTACCGCATTATGCTCACCTTTCCTTTGACCATGACTCGGACATAAGTTGGCTGCACATCAACATTGATTAAAGAGGTGTCCATATACCTGCAACGTGAAACATACCAAATCTTACCATTTTCAGAAACATTAAGTTAAAAGAAGTGCAAATAAAAACTACCATTTCCGGAACCATTTGAAATGAAAGAAGCTTCCAATTTCCATGCTCAACAGGTCTTAAGAAATCTGTCTTACATTAATCCCTAAACCAAAGGAAATTCAATATATCAGCAATTTCATTTTTAGACCCACAAGTACTCTTGGCATTGATTGCCCCTAACCTAAAAATATCTGCGGCCTGAAACGCCAGAGGTTTGCGAAAAACAGCTTGCCATGTTCTTTCATGAATATTTTATTTTAAGCTCCTGCGCCTGACGTGAATAGCCAGGAAAGCTGAATCCACGACGCTTAGGGCCTGCAACCAGCAGCTCCTGCTTCCCGAGCCGCTCTCCCTCCCCTGCAGCTGTTCCGCAGCTGCCGCCATGACATCCTGCTCAGCTTCTCCCTGCTTCTCCCTGTAAAGCCCCCTCCTGCTGAACAAGCAAAGCCTTCCATTTATGGCAGTGACCCCAGGATCAGGGGGTAACAGTTCTCCTTGACCTGAGGAACAAACGAAAGAGTTAGGCTTCATCTCACTTGTTTAGACGAATTATCAGACGTTGTAGAGGTGTACATTTAACAATATTGATCGCGACATTAGCAAATGCAGGGATGATTCAAAAGTCACACACATTAAGGCAGGGAGGATGATACCAGGGCTATGAGCATGGGCTTCAGTCACAAGGACTGTGAGGAAGGGTCTCCACCCCCTCCTGCTCCTCGGACCACGTTCCTCAACTGCTCTAAGCCTCAGGTTCTTCATCTACAAAAGAGGATGTGAAGTGCCTATCCCTTAAGATTGCTGTGAAGACACATGCAGAGTGTCTAGTCCAGAGTCGGGGTGAACACAGCATCGTTCTATTTTATGTAATAAAAATTCTTGTAAGAATAAAAAGTGTAGGCAAGGTTTCCTAAAACCTCATGCTGAATAGCTACGGCATTAATGGATCACATCTTCTTGTCCATGTGTGCGGTCTCCTAAAGCGTTCATCTGCCCCCATGTCCAAGGTCTTGGCCTGTGCTGGTCCTCTGCCTGAAACAGCCTTCTGCTGGTTCTCTGCAGAGCTCACTGCTTCTCACCCTTCAACTGTCAGCTCATGTCAGCAGCTTCCCTGACCATCCCCACACTGCCGACCACCAGACTGTGCACGCCATTGGTCTCCACCCCTGAACTCTGGCCCTTCCTGGACAGCACGCTTCTCCCTTTGTAATTACTTATTAGATGCCTGCCTGTTTATTGTCTGTCTCACCACAGGGCCATAAGCTCTAGGACAGCAGAGACTGTAATCTGAACATGCCCGTTACAGTCTCCCCGTGCCTGATACATAGTAGGTATTCTGTAGATATTTGCTGGATAAAGACAGGAAGTATATATGAATGAATGAATGAATGAACTTAATTTTCATACATCCACATGCCAATGAAGCTAACAAGGAATTTTAGAGTCATTAGTGCAGACAGAATCATGGGAAGGGAAGGATTTTACTACCTAGACAGGAGAAATCTCACCACTCCTTGAAAAAGTACATGGTAGGAGGATGGGGAAAGTTTTCATTTGAGGACTGAACGTGAAGGAGCCAAGAGAGCTACAAAGAGAAAGGGGTACACATTCATTAAACTCCAGGAATTTGGCCTAAACATGGAAAGGAGGACTTAAAAGTATGAAACTGAATGTTTAATGAAACACAGCAGAAGGGAGCTTGGGTTGCTGCAGGGACAGAGGACATGGGATCAGCTGGAGAAGAGCTAGAAGCCTTTTAAAGGCAGTGGGCTGGCAGCATGGGGGCAGAAGATTTAACAGGAGGCGTAACGGGGTGGCTCGGCATGAGGAGGAAGGTACACACTAAGAACTAGTCCTTCCTCACAAGAGCCAAAGGTGGAAACAACCCAATGTCATGTACTGATGAACGGATGAACAGAAATGTGGCCCAGCCATACAATGGAATATTACTCGGCCACAAACAGGAAGGGAATTCTGACTCGCTACAACACAGACGAACTCTGAAGATGTGACCCAGAGGTATGCGTGATTCCACTTCTATGACGTATGGGGAATTGGCAAATCTATAGAGACAGAAGGCAGATTTGCAGTTGCCAGGGGCAAGGGAAATGAGGAATGAGTACTTAATGGGTATGGGGTTTCCTTTTTGCCCCGATGAAAATGTCCTGGGGCTCTGTGCTGGCAAGGCTGCCCGGGCCTGGTGAAGTCACTGAGGGCCACTGAATCTCCACTTGAAATGGCTGACAGGGTGAATTTTAAGTGATGTGTATTTTACCACAATTAAAAAAACAAAGAGTTGGCCCTTGGCCTGTGAGTATTTATTTTGACAAGACTTACCCTCCAAAATTTACTCCCTTCTAGATAATTTCAGGATGACAAACCCTCATACTCCACTGGGTTTACTGGGAGATTAGATAAGATAGAGCACACAAAAAAGGCCTTCAAAAGAGAAAGGACTTTATTATCATTCAGGCTTGTAAATGTTCTCTGACTCCCATTACTGGTATTCATTCATTCATTCACTCAGGCATTCATTCATTCCTGAGCTCACAGAGCTCCAGGTGCTAGGCGCTGGTGTGGGTGCTGGAGAGACGAGGAAGAAGGAACAAACAAAACAAAGTTCCTGCCTTGCCCACACGTTTTTAGAAATACAAGTAAATGTATGGTTGGTCGGGTAGAAATCAAAAAGCAGGAGAGGTGGAAGGAAGGGCTGGAGCAGAGATATGCGCTTAGACGGGAGGCTGGGCAGAGAGGCCTCTATAATAAAGTGACCTCTGCCCAGAGGCCCGCAGGAGAGGAGGCAGCAAGCCACGTGGAGCCTAGCATGACTGTGGCACAGGCAGACGGATACGTGGGTGCAAAGTCCTGAGGCACTGGGGGTCCCAAGGGACTGGAGAATTAGAAAGACCCCATAGGTGGTCACTGAAGTCAGAGGCATGAAGGGCAGTGAGCCAAAACCTAGAAATCCTGAAGGAATGAGGCAGGGTAGGACACAGCGGGGGAAAGAGTGTCTGCTGGAGATAAAGAAGCTGCAGGCTACACCCCTGGGTCTCTAAGGTGGGACTGGAAGGCGGCGGGCACCATCTGATGCTTACTATTACATCAAAGTTTTAGAAAAAAGAGAGAGACAGTAAAAAGTACAGTGGTAGTAGTGAGAGCTGAGGGGGAAGCAGTAAAGCTCTGAGAATTATTTAAATTCTGCCTTAGAAGAAGAGATCGCAGAGTTCTTAGCCCTGGGACTGTGGGTTTATTTACTTCTGCCTTTGTTTTAATTTTCATGCTTTTTCAAATTACAGTACATTTTCAGTCTTAAAAAAAAGGACGCCTTCATTTGGCAAACCAAATACCATTTCAAAATACTTCAGAGCTCAAGAGATGGCACTGAGAACAAAAACAGAAAGAAATGACATTAAATAAATCCATAATGAAATGTCTTTACCTATAGACAGCAAGGTCCAGGATGATCTGGTTACGTTTTTCATCATCTTTCAAGGAGAAGTCAAGTCTAAGGAATAATCCATTTGGGGAAAAAAAAGACGATGTCTTTAGCAATACTGTACAGATAACTCATCCCATTATCAAAAGTAAACTTGGTAATAATTATATAATAATATCCAATGACAAACTTATTTTGGTAGGTGGACAATAAAATGTCTACATTTTTTAAAAAATTCAACAGAAATCTACAATATATTCATAAATTATTTGTTTACATTGTTAACATGTGAGAATCCTAAGGTAAATAACATACAGAAAATTAGCATTGGTGCAGATATAGAGACATCTGGTGGTTAAAGCTTCCTTTTCTATTTCATTCAAGTTTGCTAGAAGCAAACTAAAACACTGGACTTATTTATGGGGAAGTAAATGTTTTATTTGCTTCCCTGTATCCAGGATTCTATCCCTTTGGTTTTTTTGTTTTTGTTTTTTTAGATTTTATTTATTTTAAAGGTAGAGAAAGAGAGAGAAAGCGAGAGCATGAGCGAGTGAGCACAAGCAGGGAGAGGAGCAGAGGGAGAGGGAAAGCAGACTCCATGCTGAGTACAGAGCCCAATGCGCATTCCCATCCCACGACCCTGAGATCATGACCTGAGCGGAAATCAAAAGTCAGACGCTTAACTGACTGAGTCACCCAGGTGCCCCTATCCCTTCTGTTTTAAATAGTCTTGTCTTCCTTCTTTCTCCTTGCAATCTTTCTTTTTCTCCTTTTGTTGTTGACCTTTGCATCACCCTGGAAAATGCTGAGACACTGCCCGTATCTATCACCTCCATACAGATGATGAAACAAAGGTTCAGAAAGGTTGACTCAGCTGGGAAAGAGGCCATATGAGCCTGGAGAGGCAGGATTTCAAAGTCCTACATCTGGGGTGCCTGGGTGGCTCAGTTAGTTAAGCATCTGCCCTTGGCTCAGGTCATGATCCCAGGGTCCTGGGATTGAAGCCCACATCGGGCTCCTTGCTCAGCAGGGAGCCTGCTTCTCTTTATCACTCCCCTTCTGCTTGCTGCCCCGCCCGCTTGTGCTCTACCAACTAAATAAATAAAATCTTTAAAAAAAACAAAGTCCTACATCTTTCAACTTCCTAGGTATAACTTCTGTAGTGGCAACATACCATTCAGAATTATTTGGTTGATTTATTTTGAGCACATCACTTGTCATATTATTCTGTAAAATATATAATCCGATAATATTAAAGAGTGTAAGCTAAATTGTTTGGAACGATTTGGCTGTCAGCAGAATGTCTGTGTGTGGCCGTCCCTCTTGGTACTTTCAACAACCCAGCCATGCGGGACTCCTTCAGTTGCTCAAATGACCCATGCATTCGTGATCTCATGTCAGGAGCTTTCTTATGTTTGGGCCCCTCTGCCTTCATTGCTTATTCCCCAATTGTCCAGCCAGCCAACTTGAACTCTCCCTTCATTTAGCACTTGAAAGGTAATTTCAGAGAGGTTTTCTATAGCAGAAATTGCTATTCATTCCCCACGGTCCACTTCCCCTTTATCCATAGTAATAGGACCCCTGATTTTAACGAGGAACATGGCCGTGCAGAATAAAGACAACATTTTCCAGCCTCCCCTGCAGCTGGATATGGTCATGTGATTTAGCTCTGTGAAGGAGAGCACCTTATGGTGCTCTCCAGGAATTTCCCTAAAGAGAGAGAGTGTGTGCCCTTTCCTCCCTCTCTTCTTCTTCACCCAGCTGAACAGAAGAGATTATGGGAGGCCAAGAAATGAGCCACAGAGACTACTTAGCAAGCTGTTGTAACTGTCTAGGCAAGAGGCAGATGACGTATTCTAAGATGGGGGGGATGGAGTGAGAAGCGGTTGGATTCAGGTGGATACTGAAGGAAGAGATCATAGAGTCACTGATAAAATGACAGAGAGAAGAATCAAGGATGGATCCAAGATTTTTGGTCTTGCTAAATGGGGGATGCTCGCTACTGAGTTGGAGAACGTTGGGGGACAAGCGTGTTATGAGGGAAAGTGGTAGTGGGCATGGGAATTAGGACTTCTGTTTCTGTCATGGTAAGCTTACAATGCCTAATTCATATTCACACGGTGAGGACAAATAGCTAATTAAACATCCAAGTCTTGAGTTCAGGGAAGAGGTTGGTCTGGTTATAATGTAAAGATAGTGTTTAAAACCATGGGATTTGGTGAGAGCCCCACAGAGTCAATGTGAAAGGACAAGGCAGCTGAGGAGTTGGCCCGGGAGCACTTAGGTACATCACAAAGAGAATCAGGCAAAGCCTGTGAAGATGAACAAGTAGGATGGTCAAAGAATCAGAAGCAAAGGGAAGAAACTGCTGTAAGAAGGAAGGTAATGATGGGGGCACCTGGGTGGCTCAGTCCATTAAGCATCGACTCTTGATTTTGGCTTAAGTCATGATCTCAGGGTCCTGGGATGGAGCCCTGTGTCGGACTCTGTGCTCAGTGGGGAGTCTGCTTGAGGATTCTCTCTCTCTCCTTCTTCCTCTGCCCCTCTCTCCTCTAAAATAAACAAATAAATCTTTAAAAAAAAAAAAAAAAGAAGGAAGGTAATGATCAATTTGGTCAAATTTGCTGGGTCAGGTACATAGGGCCTGAGATTTGAAATGATGTGACTGAACAGAGAGGCAATGTGAACAGGGAACACAGAGATGATAGAAACATAGAACACAGAAATGATATGAACATATAGAAATGATTTGACTACAAAAGTTTTAGGTGACAGAATATGCAGTCATGGTTTCAAGAAGGAAAGTGAAGTGAGGAGCTGATGACTGAGTCCAACATGTCCATGGGAACTTCGGCTACTAAGAGGGGACAGAGAAATAGGACTGTAGCTGCCAGGGAAACTAGAGAAAGGGAGCTTACTTGTTGTTTTTTTAATTTTTTAAATTTTTATTTATTTTTTGACAGAGAGAGAGAGACAGCGAGAGAGGGAACACAAGCAGGGGGAGTGGGAGAGGGAGAAGCAGGCTTCCCTGACGAGCAAGGAGCCCGATGCGGGGCTCGATCCCAGGACCCTGGGATCATGACCTGAGCTGAAGGCAGACGCTAAATGGCTGAGCCACCCAGGCGCCCCTGTTGTTTTTTTTAGATGGATGATATCACAATGTCTATAAACTGATGAGATGGATCTAGTAGGAGGGAGAGAAAT